GGTGGTTTTTATTTTCCACAAAAGATGAAAAATATTTTCTTTTCTAGGTGACATTTTCCATGTCAATTAAAAGTGTAGAATTTGTTTACATTGCAAAAAAGAAAAAAATCGAAAAAAAATAAAATAAAATCACTACATATGCCTAGATTTCGAATTCCATGAAAACATGGAAAATTGCTCCTTCCCAAGGAAAACAAGAAAACTAATCATTGGAAAAAAAGACTATCAAACAGTCAAAAAGATGGAAAATGATTTTCCATGGAAAATTTGGTATAATCAAATAGGGCCCAAGTGTTATCACTGTAATGAGTTGGAATAATGCTATCCAGCACATGTGATCGTGAATATTAAGTATCAGCACGTCATAAGTTCTAATAAATGAGTCATAAAATATCAATGGTCTCTAAAATATGACTAATTTTTTATCTTTTTTTTCTCCTTTTTCACTATGCTTCTATTTTGTTCAGCTAAAAATTTTGATTATATTTTAAGTGAAAATTAATATTTAATTTTAACTACACATTGCATGGTAAACACACAACTTTTAAACAACATTTTTCATCAAAATCAACTAAAAAATCGATTTTAATCCAACCAAACAAGGATTATATAAGTTTGTCTCTTAAAACCATTTGGTAAATGTAAAAATGAAAATGAAAAATATAATCGTTACGGATCTCACATAAGAGATAGAAAGTCAAATATTGTGACTTGATGTGATGGATAACACTCATATTTTTTTTATTTAATGGGCAAATAATTGAAAACAAATGGGGGCTAAAACACATTTCAAACAAAGATTGTGAAAGAGAAGAATAGAAACATTTAGGATCCGTTTGATTGTAAAGATGGAATTTGAGTGGAAAAAAAACGAATTTCAGGAAATTGAATTACCTATAAATCGTTTTCATGAGAATTATAAATTATTGTGTTTGATTGATATAACTTTTTACGTGAAAAATATTAAAATAAAAGTGTTTTTTGGTGTTTGTTTGACTTTATTTTACTTGAAAATTATCAATTAAATTTTTTTTTTACTAGTATTGTGGATGAAATTTCTTTCCATTGCCCAAAAAAAATATCAAGAAAATCATCTATCTTTTGGTGTTCATTTGACTTTATTTTACATGAAAATTGCTAATTAAAGGGAAATATTTTTTTACAATAATTCTTAGAATTTGTTTCCATTGCCAAAAAAAAAAATAATAATAAATAATAATAATATCTAGAATTCCATTTCCCACCATATAGGTGGGAAAACAAATTCAATGAAAAGAAATGGTCACATTGTGAAGCAAAAATGAAATTCCTATTGTCAAGAAATAAATGTCTATCAAATACTAACAAAAGTGAAAAATGGAAAACATATTTTCCATGGAATTGGAAATGAATCAAACATACCCTTACAATATGCAAATGTAGTTTACTAGTTTACAACATAAAAACAAGTTTAACGTGATAATATTAAATTGGATCTTGCTACATGTATATCAAGTTTTACATAATGGGTTACATAATGTCAAATATCACTTTATTGTTTATTAGTTTAAAACACAGTCAAATTTTTTATTCAATTTTTTCTCTCCACATCATTTTATGTCATCTTTTATGTATAATTTTTTTATGTACAGGTAATATAATCATATTAAGGCCCCGTTTGATACTCATTTTTGTGAGAATGAAAATAAAAAATATATTCATTATGGGACTCACACAAAAGATAAAAAGTCAAATATAGTGGCTCGATGTGATAGATAACGGTCATATTTTTAATTTTCGTGGCTAAAGAATGAGAATCAAACGGAAGATAAATTGGAAACTATCTAGTCCAAAACTATGAAATGTACCTCTCGAGAAGCGATCACTTGGATTTTTTCAATTGGACATTTTAGTCCTTGCCATATGGAACACACATTCTCCCGACATGTCCTCTCCAATTTTCCTACAATTGACTAACCTAAGCGTGAATTACATTTCGAAGATAACCTTGTCATCATTCTTCTAGGCTACATTTGACCAAGATACAACTAGTTAACGTTGTGAAAAGAAATCTCTTCTATGTAGTATCAAAATTCACAACCTATATAGCTCCGTTCGAGATCAGAACTTGTAGAGTACAAATGAATTTAAGATACACAACGATGCATCAATCTTCTATGTCAAAGATATTGGATAGATTTTACCATTTTATAACTAATTTTGCAACGTATAAAATTCCAAATTACATTCCTAATCAATTAAACGGAGTCAAAAAGAACACCACCGTCAATTTAAAGGCAATCTCTCTCTCTCTCTCTCTCTCTCTCTCTCTCTCCTTTATACTTTTCAAATTTTTCTTAAAAGTTATGGACCCTCTTTCTTGACAAACTTGTGTCGGTCGATTTCAAAATTTAAAATTGGCTTTTAAGAAAACTTCGAAAAATATTTTTTTAAAAAATGACAATTCGAGCTGAAAAATCCGAGCGCTCAATGTTCAATATTGATTGTCCTGTTATTTGAAAACAACTTCAAATTTGTGTAAAATCATGGTATCCAACTTGTTGTGCCTAAGTACGAAAAGAAAAATGATCGTTCTAGATAGAGCCTGCATGATGGTAGATGGATCAATAGTAAAAATGCCAAAAATGTGAATTGTTTTTAAGATGGCGATGAAATTCATAAAAATTAGACAATCTCTTGCCATGGAAAAGCGAAACTAAAAAGCTAAGTACAAGTTTGATAAGCCACTTGCTTTTGTCGGTCGAATTTATATTTTTCCAAATTAAATTATCAATCCCTACAAAAATTGACCTAACACAAATTTTGACTTATTCCCTCTTCATTTTATCTCTCTGGGAAGGTGATTATTGAAGTGTAACTTTTTGTGGCACAAAATTTGATGCAAAGTATGTGATATATTTTTTACATATTAGTTTAACTTTTATCAATGTTTTTTTGAGAATTGACACCGCCCTTGTTTGATTCTTATTCTTTTTTCATTAAAATAAAAAATATGATCGTTATCCATCATATCAAATTTGAATTTTTATCTCTTATGTGGGGTCCGTAATAACTATATTTTTTATTCTCATTATTCCAAAAATGAGAAATAAACGGGGGCACAATGTAAAAAAATAGTCATATCAGGGTCGAAAAGTAAATTTCTTNTAATTCAAAACGAATCGAACAGCTCAATTACATTTTCAAAAATTGGTTCAGTAAATAAACGCTTCACATGTTTCTCTTTTCTAATTATGTTCTAGCCACGTATCGAATAAACTAATTTGTCTTTAAAACAATGTTTTCCCTTTTTTATTACTTTCAATCAACCACATGAAATAAATCGATTGATTTCAAAATAATGGGTCCTTTCTGTCTGTCACTGGATGTCCACTAGTTGACTTGCGACTTGAGCTAGCAGATTGAGCTTTAGTTTGAGCAAGTTCAGTAGATAAACATTTTACTTAGTCACATATTTCCCATTTTTTAAGTGGATTATGCTACATGAACATCAGGATGTTCATAACAGTGTTCACCCCCTCTTCATGTGAGGAAATGGACACTGCATTATATACAAATAGCATATTCTTTTTTAATTTTATTTTGTGTGACGTGTTACAAAATAAATTTGATTATAAAGGGAAAATGATAGACAAAGAAATGCAATGTCCCAGCAACCTGTCGACATAAAAGTGTGCTTCAGGAGCAAGAGTAGAAAGAAATTAAAATACTAAAACTTATGTCCCAAATTTAATTATCATGTGCCACGTGTTCAATATTATCTAATATTGAGGCAAATTATGATGACCCACACCACTCTATAATTATACTGTATAATTAAGAATGTCACATTACAATACACTTCATAGTACACACACATACACATATATGTTAAATTCCACCAGAAGTCCTTTTCGTAAGTGTGACGTCTTCTTATCCTACCATTTGTTGTAATCATGTTTACGAATAATAGAAAACGTTTATTTGAACGATAAATTAAAACTTTTTATTTTTATTTTTTTATATTATGACTAGAGAACCTATAGTCGCTATCCTTGAGGTGCGCACTGGGTATGGAGATGACTTTAATCAAGGGGATAAATTTCATGAATACAGAGAAATCACATAATTTTTGAATTTTTAAATAAAAAGTTGAAGCCAATGTTTAGACTGTTCTGACACAATTTTACGATTATAGTATGATATCATCTTAGTGTCATGTAGCCATATCATGTTCACATAAAGTTACAGAGTTTGTTAACTGGGAACATTGATGCCAGTGCTTTAAAAGGTTGAGGACATGAGTGCAATAAATGATAGAGTTCAGACGAGAAAAACTTCGAATCATATATGCATTTGAGGTAGGATTGAACACTTAAATTACGATACCTCGTACCTAAACTGCTCAAATCACGCCACCTCATATGTTGAGTGAGTAAGAGAGAGAAACAAGATTGGTGGATGGACTCGCTCGACGTTCGAGATGTCGTACATTTAAATGGTTTGAAATTTAAGGTATCATGATTTGAGTATAGTGTCAGTCTACCATGTACGCGTATAGAACTATAAAAGTTGCCCCTCGGGGCATAGTTCAGTGGTGCAAAGGATAGGAGTGAGGTAGTCTCAACCTCACTGAAAGCCGTAGTGTGCGGGTTCGATTCTTGAAATATGGAATTGAACTCTTTGTGAGAACCAGTGTACATGCAAACTCTTGGTCCCTGACCTGTTGGGGCACATTTCGCGATTTACTTCCCTCGCGATGCTCTAGGGGCAGGCCGGTGGGGGACCGTCAAGGTTGGGGTTCAACATTTTATTTATTTTATTATTATTATTATTATTTTTTAAGAACTATAAAAGTGTAAGCGTATAGAACTATAAATCTCCGGTTACGAATTGTTAGGGAACCTGAATTTACTCATAGACATACATAGATATATATACAGTATGGATATATATATACATGCACGTTTATAGACTTGTTTAAATTTTTTGTTGCCTTTGATTTAAACCTTTTTATAGACGTACCTTAAAATTCAATCCAATCTAATGCTAAAGCTTCACCATATTTGCTTGGAGACCACTTGATTGCTCTTTCTCTCTTCCCTCTCTCTCTTTATATATATAAACAATGACTTCAATTCTAAGTATAATTCTCTCGAAACCCTCTTGAATCATTAAAAAACTTCGATAATTCTATTTAATGTCCCAGTAATTGAGCCATCAAGCTCAGTACTGTCAATCTGTCACCGTTAAGCGTTAACCAGTAGTCAATATCTCAGTGTCTGCAAATAACAGAATCCAAATGGGGCGCCATTCTTGCACTGAAAAGGAGAAGCTCAGAAAAGGGTTATGGTCACCTGATGAAGATGAAAAGTTGTACAATTTCATCACTAGATTTGGTGTTGGCTGCTGGAGTTCTGTGCCTAAATTAGCAGGTTCTTTTTAATTATCTTGATAATATATATTTTTTCCGTGTAATTTGGACTCTTACCTTTCCAACAATTTTGGCCGTACGGGGCAGTTCTTGTACAGTTCGGGAGCCGAGTCCTAATACTTATGTAATAGCTCGCTATCAATTGGCAGTGGGCAACTTCGTGATGCACTGCGATTGGTCTAAACCTTCGAGACTTATTGACCTTCTTGGATTTCTATGTGCCTTTTGGTAGACAAATCTTTAGTGAAAGCGTGAGATCTAGTATTAAAAAAGTAGTGATTTAACTCTAAAAGAAAGGGTCGAATTCTGATAAGAAAGTCCACATTCTACTTTTTTTTTTTGCCTGATTTTTGTTTAAATGAAAATTAAGAACTGGGAATGAATAAGATTGTGGGTTTCTTATATTTTCAGGTTTACAGAGGTGTGGTAAGAGTTGCAGATTAAGATGGATTAATTATTTGAGGCCTGATCTTAAGAGAGGAATGTTTTCACAAGAAGAAGAGGATATGATCATTAGTCTCCATGAAACACTTGGCAACAGGTTTATTCCTCTTTCATTTTTTGCCACTCGATTTGATTTATTCGATGCAGTGTCGCTCATTCTGGACGCCCAGCGAAATGTGTATTAAGATTCACAATGAAATCCTTCTTCACTTAGGCTCTCTAACGACTTTTCCAGTTTGGGATGGCCGAAAAAATGTGTATTAATATTCATGATGCAACCCTTTGTCTCTAGTCTGGCTGTATCGACTATGAAAAAATAGGTGGAGTAAAACGATTATTGGATATTTGTGCTTTTACAGGTGGGCTCAAATTTCAGCACACTTGCCGGGAAGAACAGACAATGAGATAAAGAACTTTTGGAATTCATCTCTGAAGAAGAAGCTGGTAAAGCAAGGCATTGATCCTAATACTCATAAACCGTTACCTGAATCCCGAGATCTGATTCTACAGCCAAACGGGCTTCCAAATTTGGCAAATTCAGATGAAATAGGACAAGAATTTTGTCCAAACAACGTAATTTGCTATAACAGTGAACAAAAAGAATATGATCCTCTGTTCTTGTCTGAGTTTCAAGAAAGTTCTGATCCTATTGGATACCATTCAAATTTTGTAACTGATCATGATCATCAGAATAATCAGATTGCGGGAAATCCTAATTCGAATTCTAATTATGGGTTCAACTCAATGCCAGATTTAGCGAATTTCAATCCTGGGAATTTCATGGATGCACATCTTTCTGATAGTTCAACTTCAAGAATATGTTCTTATCTGAGTTCAAGTCATAGTTCAAATGTGAACAGCCATACCGCGATTCAGGCGAACAATATGATGACAAGTCCTGAAACATCTTTGTGGGATTTCGACAAGAAATTCGGTTCAATGTTTCAATTCCAGCTAAAAGATGAAGAGAATTCAAGTTCATGGCAAGAAGGCACAAGCAGCTATATATTCAAGAATTCAAAAGATTTCAGTAACTAGCCATTGACAGCAATATCCCAAGAATTGATTCACATAATTTAAACCTAGATGTTTTCAACGGAAGTAAACTGTAAATTATTTTTTTACGCTCCACAAATACATACAAATACACAGTGATTTCAGTTAAAAATCATGGTTCTTGTTTATTTTTGTTATACAAGATGATATTGCATTTTGCTGATTGTGTTGTTCTGAGAGTTTGAAAAAAATAATGTTTGTATACACTTTTGAAAGAGTGAAATGGTTTAATTTATGGCCGAAATTGTTCCATTGAGTATAGATAGCAATGATCTCATGTAACTTCAGTAATACATTAACTTGAAAACTTTCCTATCACTTTAGTGTATCACAAGTATTACATACTATCAAATTCATGGTCCAAAGTTTGTTACTTTTACGGTACTAAAGCCTCTACCATTCACTCAGTTGCAAGATGAGCCATTGCAGTGCCTAATCCTTTATATGTGCATAAGCTCCAATCTGGTCTAGTGTAAGTTGGTGTATTGCCTTAGAAAACAACTCTTTCAAATCAGGATGCTGCATTACGTCGAGCCACTCCTTCAAGAACACTAAACGTTCTTTCTTGTTCTAGAGCCTTGCTGTTACCAACATTAATGTAAGGTTACACAGCAAAACAAGGTCCTGCAAATGCAACTGGCCTCGATCACCAGTCCTCAACAAATTCATGAGTTTTTGCACCCCATTTAACTCAACAATGGCCTCAGAATGTTCCTTTTCATTGAAATTATCATCAGGAACCAACTTTCCCAAAGCTTTAGCTGTTTCGGCAACCACATCAGGATTCCTATCTCCAACGAGTAACCAAAGACTCGATTATAAGTGTTTCCTTAGCTGGAATCACCAACGCCACATTCTTCTCATTTATCACCCTCAAAAGTTGACCCAAACGGCTTTTGCAGCCACTGAATTTGGCATAAAAGCCAAATGCTTAATATCAGCATGAGACTCGGCAACTGCAGCCAATTCCATCACCACCAGAAAACAATTGATCTGAAATTTCCCATTCTCTTCTCGATAATCTTTGCCAAAACAAGCAAGGCCTTAGTCTCCCTAATCTTCTTACTATTCAATAAACTCCCTATAGCTAATATCCACAAAGCAGTAGTGCAATTCACCTTAAGCTTCGACTTCACCTCCATCGACTCTGCCTCCCTCTCCTTCTCCTTACCATTATGGTGTTGATTCCCATCCAAACTACTTCTACTCAATCTGCTACCACCAATTCTCACCATATCTTTATTCATCTGAACCAGCGAATGCAAATGCGTAGCAGTTCCTCACGACCCCACGTCCTCAAAATCCTCTAAATCCACATCCATACCCAAAAGACTCACTAGCGGGCCTCTTGAATCCGTTTTTTGAAAATTGAATCCATTTGAACGTAATTTCCTATATTTACATTAACGATCAACATACAGAAGTTACAGACAGTAGCATCACTTGGCATCTCCATGCCGCAGGAACTGGACAAACTTAGATCTCACACCCCGAAGGATACGGACTAGCCGATAGTTTTTATCAAGCTAAACTTCCGTGCCTCTTTAAAATTCTTCCAATTTTTTGTTATTTTTGAATTACACTACAAGATAACAATAAGAATGTACAAGACCTCTTGATTAGGTAATTTGACGATCAAGTGTTCAATGAATAATCGAGCAGCAGAAGAGTCGGACAACCTCACTTTTACGAGAAACCTCTCCGCTCTATAAACACAGGAAAATTATGAGAAGGGCACATAATCTTATATTAAGCAATGAAAAATATGGACAAGGATAGCAGCAATGTAAATAACAGTCACGTCTCTATTAAAATTCTTTTCCTTCAATTGATGGATATATAAGTGAATTTGCGCAAATCAGTAAAAGCATTTCCTACGTAAGCAAGTTGAAGTCATTATCATCCTTATACTCTATATTTTCAGTGTTCTATGAACTAGTCCATGTTTTTAAAAAAAATAAAAATAAATTGTGTCTATTTCAATTCATCAATTCCGTTCCATTAATTTAATGTTGTTTCAAATATTTCTCCATTTCTATATTGATAATCTATGACATGCATTGTATGCACAACTTGAGGAATGATATGAAAACGAGATAAAACGGTAGCTCTTTTATGGGTTTGGGTGTAGAGAATGATATTTGACATAGCTAAATTCGTGATTTTTAGCTTAAAAAAAAAAATCTTTCAATTTGAGTGGCTGAAGTACAATACCATTATGTTTTTCAATTATAAATATTCACGGTTTATATCTTTTAAGCTCTAGTTGTAGTTTTTTTTTGTTTTTAATAACATGACTTATTTTTAAGGACAAGACAAAATAAAAAGAAATTCAACAACATATATATATATATATATATATATATATATTATAATGGCGCAAAAAAGTGAAAAGAAAAAAAAGGAAAAAAAAGAAAAAAAAGAACGAAATTAGCTGAAATTTGTATTTTCGAAACAATAGAGCTAATTCTAACGGTAAAAGTTTGCAATGGGCTAATTTACAACTGGCACGCTCCAAAATCTTAACCGTTTATTTATGCTTAATCCAACGGTGGAATATGATATTGATGAAAATAAAAATATGACCGTTTTAAAGGACCTATTCCATTGTTCTTCAGAGAGAGGCGATGAGTTTTGGGGTTTCTCTCACAAGAGGATCTGGGCAAGTATTTTTGAATCTGGATTCAATTACTATAAGAATTAGAAAATTAACAAGAAAACAGATAGTCACTTTTGTACGACTATTTCTATAATTTCTTTGGCTATATGATTATAATGTTTTTTATTCATACATGTAATGAATCTAATGGATAGTTTCAATTCAGGGCATTCTTCTTTGGTCGAACGGATGATCATTTTGGGCTTCACTGGATTTCTTTTGGAGAATTTTCTGAGGCTTTTCATTTTATGTATGGTTCGTTTTGCAATTTTGACGGTTGCCTCATGGTTATTCTATCGAGAACTAGACAAGGATTTTTGAGGATGGCTATCAGTTCTATTCCAGAGAAATCGAGAAGTAAGTAATAATAAGATTCTTTTCAAGAAAATTAGGTCAGTCATATTTTCACGATAAATTGTGTAGACTTTCAGCTGATTCTGTTTTTTGTATTCTCTGAGGATTTTCATCGAATCTCTAAGTTTTGGGGTTCAAATTTGTGTTCTATCTTGTTTCTGTAATTTCTTTTTCTTTGCAATGTTCTTTGTTAGATCATTTGGATGAATTTAGTAAGATATATCCTCGGTTGAATTGATGATCATTTTTGGATCGCACTATAATTATTTCTGTAAAAAAATTTTGGGTTTTCGCTGGATCTTTAATATGTTTGGTGTTTACTTTCATTTTCTCGGTTGAATTGATGATCATTTTTGGTTCGCACTATAATTATTTCTGTAAAAAAAATTTGGGTTTTCGCTAGATCTTTAATATGTTTGGTGTTTACTTTCATTCAATTTATGGCTATTTCAGCAATTGAGTGTACCTTGAATGATATTGTTCTCTGTTGTTTGTGTAATTCCTCTTTGTAACTGCGTTGTTTGGTTCATTTGGATGGATCTTGAAGGATTTGTCCTTTACTGTATTTGCAATTATCGGGTGAATTTATATGTGGGCTGAATTCATTGATGGAATTTTTGTTTGGTTTGAATATTGATGAGTTTTGGGTTCTCTTTTCATTTTATGTACGGTTACTTCAGCAATTGTATTTTGAGTGTATAATGTTCTCCTTTTTCTTTAATTTTTATTCTTTACACATTCTATTTTGGTACAATGGCTTGAATATTGAAGGATTTTTCTTGGGTTCAATTTTTGGTTTGCTAGATTTATTTATCTAAATTCTTTGTGGATTTTGTTGAATCTTTAATAGAATTTGTGCTTTTTGTGTATGGATTGAATAAGGATAATTGATAAGGTATGGGTTCTCTTTTTATTTTATGCATGCTTATTTCAACAATTATGTTTCTTATCAAGATAATATTCTCTTCATGTATGTAATTCTTGTGTCTTTATGATTACATTCTTTTTGGTACATTTGGATGAATATTGAAGGATCTTTTAGTCTATCTTGTTCTTTGGATGATCAATTTTGGGTTTCACTGGATTTGTTTATGTGAATTCCTTGAGTTGAATTTTTAATGTAATTTGTGCTTCTGGTGTTTGGTTTATGGTCCCTTTTTTCATTTTATGTATGTTCCTGTGCCTTTATGATTACCTTCTTTTTAGTACATTTGGATTAATATTGACGGATCTTTAGTTTTCTTGTTCTTTGGATGATCAATCTTGGGTTTCACTAGATTTGTTTATGTGAATTTTGTCGGTTGAATTTTTAAAGTAATTTGTGGTTCCTTTTTCAGTTTATTATGTATGATTATTTTAGAAATTATGTTCTTAGAGTGAGGGAGAATGTTCTCTTTGTTTTTCCAAATTTGATTGTAGTTATCTCCGTAATTTTGAAATTTGGTTTGTGATTTTGGTTGTGCTTTTATTGCACGAGCTTCGACCATTACGCATTTCCGTTTTATGTATGGTTAATTCATCAATTATGCCTTTTGAGGTTTTTTTATTTTTTATTTATTTTTCATTTTTTTTTATGGTTTTGTGAGTTCTTTTTGGGTAATTTCATGTTTCTGATTAAATTCTTTGATGGGATGAATCTAGAAGGATACTTTTTGGGTTTTGTTTGTACCAACTGATGATTAGCTTCAAGTGTCAGTGGCATTGAGAAGGGCTTTTTTCCTAGTCTAGTTTCTGATATAACTTTCAGCATTGTTCACACAGCAGCACCCGAATTTGTATATTTCTGGACAGGTTTAATCACAAGCGGCTACTCTATCTTGTCATGATTCAGATGATACTGAGAAGTCCAAACTCAACAGCCAAGGTGCACATGGAAGATTATCTTAGTTTTCATGGTTTTCTGGTTCTATATTATACTACTTCCCTCGATTTTCATTGTCAATAATCTAGTATGTGAATATTTCTTAAGAGTTCATTGATTTCACTTTTGCTCTGTGCACTAAACTCCCTCAATCAGAGGTTGATTTGCTCTTCTAATTTTATTGCTACTACGTACTATTACTTTCTATCGAATACAATTCTACAATTTACAGCTGCTTGAAAACATAAAGCTTGGATATTTTTCCTACTATAATATTTGTTATCTCATAGTTCTTTTAAGATGGGATATTTTTTTTCTACTACAATATTTGTTATCTCATAGTTCTTTTAAGATGTTGACTTTCATATTTTTATTTTCGAAGCGAGAAAATCTGTAAACCTGTTAAAGAGGAATTAATCATATGAATTAGATTATTCTTTGGAGGGCCACTGGCAACAAGCAAGGTTAACATTTCTGATGCATAAATATTATTTATACTGGCACGATCCTGATTGAAGCATCAAGATTTAAAATTTCTGTTTTGATACTTATATATGTGTCGATACTAACCTTCTAGGGAATGTATGCGTTTATATGCTTTTGGTGCTCATAAAGAATTCCTTGTGCGCGATGGGAATTGTAACACATTGGAATGATTAGGTATGTAATCTCTAATCTTTTCATATCTATGTGAATCTTGTTGCTAGACGAGTACACTTACTTGAAGCCAAATATGTCATTTCATGCTTCAATTTTTTTGGGACCTTACGCGTTCAAGAGCTCAATTAGAGTTCTATAGAAAGTAGCAACACCAAAAATGTCGTCAAACTTGAAGCAACTTCTCTTTGCACCTATGTCAAGGTTTGTCTCCTATACATTTTAATTTGTTTTTATTTCAGTTTTCTCTAACTTGGTAATTTCTTTCATAATCAAAGCATTTTCTAACTCTCATTGGTTAATAATATAATCAAATAAATGGGTAAGCATGCCTCGTACTTAAATTTGGCTGGGATTCCTAAAATACTAAGGTTTGGCCCTTGAGGAAGCTTCAATGAGATTGAAACCTGCTTGGGCTCAAAAAAGGTCGAGACTCCTTGAGCTTGATTTTCGGTCCTTGGGAAGGATTATACTTAAATGGCATTCAAGATTTGCTTGTGCTCCATTCAGCCTTAGGAAGAAATATGCACAAACAAGGTCGAGAGTCGTTGACACTCACTTGGGATAAGTGTTGCTCGAACCTTGATGACTCTCGGCTTTAGGTTTGTACTTGAATGTGATCCAGAGTAGTGAGAGGGTACAACTTGGCCTTAACAAGAATATGCTCGAACTAAGTTGAGAATATGCTTGCCCTTAGCAAGAATATGCTTGAACTAAGTTGAGATTCGCTTTGGCCTCAATAAGATGAAATATTCTTTGACGAGGTCGAGATTTGGGCTCAACATCACCTTTCCATAGAAATTAAGTTTAAACGAAGTCGATATTGACTTCTTCAGTCTTTGGTTTAATTTCCTCACATATAAGGTGGTATTCCTGTGTGCTCCAATGCTATTGGTTGACAATGCTCCGTATTACATTTTGTGTTCCCTATCTTCTATTTTATCTCTTAGCATCAATTTGGTATACATTTGGCTGGATTTGTTATAATGCTACTTGCGAAGTGGTACTCTACTTTCTTTTTCAGCAAAAAATAAAAAATAATAATTTCAATGTTCCAATTCATAAATGGTTGCCCCAAGAAGTAATCGCAGAACACTTTCAGAAAATTCTGAAGAGTTATGGAGACAGTTGGACAGTTGCAAAATCAGTCTGGTAAAACAGAAATCTCTGAAAGTCATCAGTTGCTTTCATAATTTACTAATAATGTTATTTACTAGTTCATAAAGGCGGGATGTGTTATAATGCATATATATTAATTATCATGAGATTTGGTTACAATCCAAATAAGATGTTCCAATTCATACAAGCAGTTGCTCCAAGAAGTAATCGCAAAACACTTTCAGAAAATTCTAAAGAGCTATGGAAATTAGTTCTGTAATACTTGGTAGAAAGGAGATAAGTAATATACTACTAATGTTATTATTTTATACTACTAATGTTATTATTTTTCAATAATGTTGAATTTTATGCGCAATAATAGAGAGATGAAAGATAGAAATTAACAAAAAATATTTATGTAGTACGTGATTCGGTGATGTGCCTACGTCCACAAGAGGGAAGCAAAGATAACAACATTATTATTTATATTAATCCTAGCCCGAATCCATATAAGACTTTAAGGTCCAAACTATTTAGCGCACTATACTCTCTGTTGCTCCACTTCGACGTCAGCCCATTTGATCCAGTAAATTTGTGTTCCACAACAATCTCTTCACCTTGGCGAAGTTAATCAAGTAGAGCGTTTCCATTTTGATTGGCTTCGCACTTGCAAGTGTGAAAATATAACTTGTATGGGACATTCTATCATTCAGGTCGCCTGCATAATCTGCATCTACCTATCCCTAAACTAAAATAATCTACTCCTTTCGAATTTTCATTTTATTTTATAGGGCTCGAAACTTGATCTCTATGCCAAGAATCTTTCATATCAAACTTACTATCTAACAAAGATTTCAATCTGTCTACCTCATTCATGTTCTTGGCAGAAATTAGCATGTCATCCACATACAACATCAAGAAAATATATGAACCAACCTCGAACTCTTTAGTCTACACACAAGATTCTCTGTACACTCTTTAGTTTGCATACAAGATTCTCTGTTCTGGGTTTCAAGAACCCTCTGGCTGCTATCTGTTCCTCCAAATCATCACTAAGGAAAGTTGTCTTCACATCATTAAGGAAAGCAGTTTCCACATTGCTTCTTTTTTTCGGTACACCCACTTGCATACACTTTACGTGCACTTTATTGGTTTCTCTCTCCTCTGGAAGCTCCACCAAATTTTAAGTATCATTATTATGTAGTAACTCAATTTACTCTAGAGAAGTCATCGATGAAAGTAATTTAATATCAGAGAGCACGTAATCAAGAATGCCCACCGTCTTGTGCTTTCACATCTCCAACTGTACTCTGTTACATGCCTAACATCCTCATTTCAATGACCATACGTGATGCATCTTACCCATTAGAACAAATTACCCCCATTTTACCCTCTTCAACAAATTACTCTTGTAAAGCTCAAATGTTTTCCTATATGTCCCAATCCAATATGCTATAGAAAGAAATTAGGTTCTTTCTTAACTCTATTACTTGCCTAACATCCTCATTTCAACGACTTTACATGATGCATCTTTACCCATTAGATATGAAACGAGTCGATTCCGATGAGGATACATGTGATATGAACTGGCTGAATCAAGAATCCAACAATTATGTACTATAAGAATTATCTGCAGAGTGATAAATGTTTTTATCTCTAGAATCCGAGTCTTCTTTTGCAATAGTAGCTGAGTTTGAGGACCCACCGCTTTTCATTTCATCACACTGCTGACAGTCTTTCTTAAAGTGGCCCCATCTGTGGAGGCATTTGTAGTACTTGGCTTTTTTTCTTATTTTAATTCCTAAATTTTGATCTCTAACACCCTTTGTAAGAACAACCTTTGTCCTTCCTTCTCCCACAATATTCACGATCAACCCTTCACCCTATGAACTTCCTCCAATTCGAGAGTCTCTTTACCCTACGTCAACGTAGTCACCAGGTGGTCCTACGAAGAAGAAGAGCACAACAATATCATTGGTCTTCATCATCAAACTTAATTTCAAGTTGTAGCAAAACACTAATAATTTGATTGAATACATTGGTGTTCAGATCTGTACCCTTCAACATCTTGAGCTCCCACAGTCGCTGCTTCGTATGCTACTTGTTCATGAGAGACTTTAACATATAATGACTTTGACCCAATTTTTGCCAAACATTCGTCAGAAACTTCCCAGATAGTGCCTTCACCATCCCTGACATATCCTTCACCATTTTTTGCCATTATTCGAAATTTCCAGATCCGTCAAAGTTCATCACATAGAATTTTGCAATCGAAGAACTCGTCATCTGAACCTGGTTATTTTCGTGGTTCGGCGATGTGCCTTGAAGTAGGCTTTTTTAGCTCAAACTCATACAAGACTTTAAGACATAAGATAATACCCCCTATACTGCACCCCTAATCGATGTCGCATCTGCTCCATTTCATTCGGTACGCCACGCTTCCCTCGCTTCGCTTCGCTCCGCTCCAACACCAACCTATTTGATTCAGTAAACCTATCTTCCACCCTATATGAGCTACATACACAACTTAATTTCTTCTAAAATTGCTATTATTTGACATCAAACAAATCTTTCTTATTGGAGCGATTTTTCTTTTTACCATTGCTAGGTTTGTGTTTTTGATGAATTCATTTTCTTTATTTAAATTCTGTTTTCCCTCACAACTCATAATTTCTTTCTTTCTCATTTGATTTCATAGATTATTAAATCTAATATCTTCTAAATAGATTCAACTAGCATTCCTCCTAAAGCAATTTATATTCTTTATTTCATTTGCAATTTGTATTCATCTAATCACATTTGACAAGTATGTATTCGTTTGAACATAAAGCAAGGAGCGAGTCGACCCCAAGTGAATTTCAACCCCGTTTGAATATACTTTATCCTAAGACCAAGTCAAAACTGAGCGAGTTTTGATCTCTTTCGAGCATAATTCCCTTCATGTTTGAGTTGACTTCATTTGAGCACAATTCCATCTAAGGACTGCGCGAGCCCAAGCAAGTCTACTTCATGCTAGCATAGCTAATCCGCATGATTTGTAAAAGGTTGACCAATAAGTCTCAAGTGTGTTTTTTTCGAGGGTTGTTTGAGTCGACCTTTTTTTAGAACAAATCCTTTTTTTTATCCAAACCAATAATGTCAATCTTTTTTAAGAATAACTAATTCAATATCTTGTTTGAGAACAAATAATTCAATCTAAGGGCCCACAATCTATTAGAGCCTAAAGAGACTTGACCTTTTTCAAGCATAATTCTTTAGATGACCGAGTCGAGCAAGTGTATTACAACATGGAAACATAGTTTAAAACAACTAAAAGTAACGAAAACAAAGTCTAAACAAACTAGAATTGCAAAAAAAAAAAAAAAACGAATTGACAAAAATAGCACCAAAACTTTAAAAATCAGTTTTTGAGTCCCAAAAGAACTCGAATGACTGAAATTCATCGTACATGGCATAGCGGTGAGTATTGTTTAATATACATCAGTCCCTTCCACCTTCGAAGAACTCGATCCTGAGTTATAATTTGGATACAAAGGCTTGTCATCTTTATGGAACTCGACCCCGAGTTATAATTTGGATACAAAGGCTTATACAAATCTGCCACATTGAAGGTTCGAGAAACACCCATGGAATCTGGCAAATCTAGGTACGCATTGGAGGAAATTAGTGAAAATGGTCGGTTGACGACCTTGTTTCCCTTTTAGTCTTTGATTGATTTAAAAAAAATACCCCTCCATCCTCCTTCACTTTTTCTCGAAGTTAGAATTTGGAGTTAGAAATTTTCACTTTCATTGACAGTCGGCTGTCCAGACATCTTCCTTACCGTCGAACTTTCGATCGCCGGCTATAAATGTCAGTTTTTGTGGAGTTATAATTAGATTATTGGGCTTTGTTGAGTTTTAATTAGATTAATGGTTGGAATATTATTTTTATTGTGTGAGAGGCATGATTTAGGCTAGATTTGAGTATAGATGATGTGTGGGCTCCGGTGAGATGGAGTTGGCTGTTGAGATAGTCGGACAGCCAGACAGTCGGCTGTCGACTGTTAAATCGGTTGTTAACAGTCGATTTTCGGCCTTTTTTTTCAATTTCTAAATTAATTTAAATCATTAAATGTTTAGAATTTTTAATTAAATAATTTTTTTCTAATCAATTTTTTTATTCTAAGATTAAATTTTTTAATTCTAATTAAAACTCTTTATTTGAAATTAAATTTTAATTTTTTTATTTTAATTTTTAATTTAAATTTAAATTATAATTTTAATAAATTTGTTACTTTAAAATTAATTTTCAAATTAATTTTGTAATTCTAATTTTATCTTTTTATTTTTATTTTAATTCTTAATTGTATTTTAAATTTAAATTTTCATTTTCATTTTAATTTTAATTTAAAGAAATTTATTATTTTAAAATTAATTTTTTAATTCTAATTTTTAATTTTTTAATTTATTTTTAATTTTTAATTTATTTTAAATTTAAATTTTCTTCTAGTTATAATTTTAATTTAAAGAAGTTTTTTATTTTAAAATTAATTTTTCGGTTAATTTTTTAATTCTAATTTTAAATTTTTATTTTAAATAATTTGTAATTGTAATTTTAATTTTAATGTTAATTATTAATTTTCATAATACGGTAAAAAATTCATATTATTAATTTAATTTGAATAATTTTTTATTTTTATTTTTATTTTCAATTTAATTAGTTAATTATAATTTTAACTTTTAGTTTTAATTTCATTTTAGTTATAATTTTAATTTAAAAAAGTTTTTTATTTTAAAATTAATTTTCCAGTTAATTTTTTAATTCTAATTTTAAATTTTTATTTTAAATAATTTGTAATTGTAATTGTAATTGTAATTGTAATTGTAATTGTAATTGTAATTTTAATTTTAATTTTTAATTTTATTTCAATGTTAATTATTAATTTTCATAATCCGGTAAAAAATTCATATTATTAATTTAATTTGTTTTCATTTTAATTTTAATTTTCAATTTAATTAGTTAATTATAATTTTAACTTTTAGTTTTAATTTCAATTTTCAATTTTCAATTTCAATTTCATTTTAATTATTACTTTTTGGTAATAGGGTTTAAAACTCTATTTAATTTGAATAATTTTATATTTTCATCTTAATTTTAGTTTTTTATTTTAAATATTATTTTAAATTTTAATTATTAATTTTTGGTAAGAGGGAAAAAGTTTCATGAATGCTTGCGATATAGTAGTTAAGATTTGGTTCGCTTAATTATGTTTTTTATTAATTATGTTTCAATTTTTGCGAGATGGATTATAAGATGGATGCAGCTGAGGCAGATGCCGTGGAAAGTTATGTAGAATAGTAACTTTGACAGCTTTTCCATGTTCAAGTTTGCCCTTTTTGATAGAAGATTACGGGCAATGAGGCAGCTAGCAGACCGCACTTGAAGCCCAAGAGGCCCGTGCGTAAGTACGACGCCTACAGATTCCCCTTGAGCAAGTAAATGATTAACGCAATCAATGTTAAAATATATTTTTTATTGAATTTGTATATACTAATTTATGTGTTGCAAGTATGGGCGTATGAGATCATTCCCATATTGGGTACCCACTTTGCGTGGCGAGGAGAGACGCTGTCCTCGTATGCACCATTGGCGAGTATCTTGAGCAGAGGATGTCCTACAGGGAAACAATTATCGACTTTTTTCGACGACCCTCATGTGCGGAATGATATGGTTTTATTTTTTTAAAATGTCAATAGGTCAGTTTGAAATAATAACTCATTTGATATTGTCGATGGAGGAGGAGGTGCAGGGTCTTGTGCATGAAATAACTTTCGATTGCCGACTATATCCTATTGTAAATGTCAGTTTTTGTGGAGTTATAATTAGATTATTGGGCTTTGTTGAGTTTTAATTAGATTAATGGTTGGAATATTATTTTTATGGTGTGAGAAGCATGATTTAGGCTAGATTTGAGTATAGATGATGTGTGGGCTCCGGCGAGATGAAGGAGTTGGCTGTTGACAGCCAGACAGTCGGCTGTCGGCTGGCTGTTAAACCAACTGTTAACAGTCGATTTTCGGCCTTTTTTTAATTTTCTAAATTAATTTAAATCATTAAATGTTTAGAATTTTTAATTAAATAATTTTTTTCTAATTAAATTTGTTATTTTAAGATTAATTTTTTAATTCTAATTTTAACTCTTTATTTGAAATTAAATTTTAATTTTTTTATTTTAAATTTAAATTTAAATTAATTTTGTAATTCTAAATTTATCTTTTTATTTTTATTTTAATTTTTAATTGTATTTTAAATTTAAATTTAAATTTAAATTTTCATTTTAATTATAATTTAATTTAAAGAAATTTATTGTTTTAAAATTAATTTTTTAATTCTAATTTTTAATTTTTTTAAATTATTTTAAATTTTTAATTTATTTTAAATTTAAATTTTCTTCTAGTTATAATTTTAATTTGAAGAAGTTTTTTGTTTTAAAATTAATTTTTCGGTTAATTTTTTAATTCTAATTTTGACTTTTTATTTTAAATAATTTGTAAATGTAATTTTAATGTTAATTATTAATTTTCATAATAAGGGAAAAAATTCATATTATTAATTTAATTTGAATAATTTTAATTTTAATTTTAATTTTAATTTTAATTTTCAATTGAATTAGTTAATTATAATTTTAACTTTTAGTTTTAATTTCATTTTTGTTATAATTTTGATATAAAAAGTTTTTTATTTTAAAATTAATTTTCCAGTTAATTTTTTAATTCTAATTTTAAATTTTTATCTTAAATAATTTGTAATTGTAATTGTAATTGTAATTTTAATTTTAATTTTTAATTTTATTTTAATGTTAATTATTAATTTTCATAATACGGTAAAAAATTCATATTATTAATTTAATTTGAATAATTTTTTGTTTTCATTTTAATTTTTATTTTCAATTTAATTAGTTAATTATAATTTTAACTTTTTGTTTTAATTTCAATTTTCAGTTTCAATTTCATTTTAATTATTACTTTTTGGTAATTGGGTTTAAAACTCTATTTAATTTGAATAATTTTATATTTTCATCTTAATTTTAGTTTTTTATTTTAACTATTATTTTAAATTTCAATTATTAATTTTTGGTAAGAGGGAAAAAGTTTCATGAATGCTTGCGATATAGTAGTTAAGATTTGGTTCGCTTAATTCTGTTTTTTATTAATTCTGTTTCAATTTTTGCGAGATGGATTATCATCTGGATGCAGTTGAGGCAGATGCTGTTGAAAGTTACAAGAACAGTAACTTTGACAGCTTTTCCATGTTCAAGTTTGCCCTTCTAGATTGAAGATTCCACCTGGATATCGTCGACAACATAGATCGCTTCAACTAGTTATCCATGGGGCCGCCGATATTTCGAGAACAGTATCTACATCTTCACCACACCGCAAGGGGCCCGTGCGGCAGTACGACGCCTACAGATTCCCCTTGGTTCTGCAAGTAAATGATTAACGCAATCAATGTTAAAATATATTTTTTATTGAATTTGTATATACTAATTTATGTGTTGCAGATATGGGCGTATGAGATCATTCCCATATTGGGTACCCTCTTTTCGTGGCGAGGGGAGACACGCTGTCCTCGTATACACCATTGGCGAGTATCTTGAGCAGAGGACTACAGGGAAACAATTATCGACTTTTTTCGACGACCCTCATGTGCGGAATGATATGGTTTTATTTTTTTAAAATGTCAATAGGTCAGCTTGAAGTAATAACTCATTTGATATGGTCGATGGAGGAGGAGGTGCAGGGTCTTGTGCGTGAAATAACTTTCGATTGCCGACTATATCCTATTGTAAATGTCAGTTTTTTGTAGAGTTATAATTAGATTATTGGGCTTTGTTGAGTTTTAATTAGATTAATGGTAGGAATATTATTTTTATGGTGTGAGAAGCATGATTTAGGCTAGATTTAGGTATGGATGATGTGTGGGCTCCGACGATATGAAGGAGTTGGCTGTTGATAGTCGGACAGCCAGACAGTCGACTGTCGGCTGGCTATTAAACCGGCTGCTTACAGTCGATTTTCGGCCTTTTTTTAATTTTCTAAATTAATTTAAATCATTAAATGTTTAGAATTTTTAATTAAATAAATTTTTTCGAATTAAATTTGTTATTCTATGATTATTTTTCTAATTCTAATTTTAACTCTTTATTTGAAACTAAATTTTAATTTTTTATTTTAAATTTAAATTTAAATTGAAATTATAATTTTAATAAATTTGTTACTTTAAAATTAATTTGAAAATTAATTTTTGTAATTCTAATTTTATCTTTTTATTTTTATTTTTATTTTTAATTGTATTTTAAATTTAAATTTTCATTTTAATTATAATTTTAATTTAAAGAAATTTATTGTTTTAAAATTAATTTTACAATTAATTTTTTAATTCTAATTTTTTAATTTTTTAAATTATTTTTAATTTTTAATATATTTTAAATTTAAATTTTCTTCTAGTTATAATTTTAATTTGAAGAAGTTTTTTATTTTAAAATTAATTTTTCGTTTAATTTTTTAATTCTAATTTTAATTTTTTTTAAATAATTTGTAATTGTAATTTTAATGTTAATTATTAATTTTCATAATACGGTAAAAAATTCATATTATTAATTTAATTTGAATAATTTTTTATTTTTATTTTAATTTTCAATTTAATTAGTTAATTATAATTTTAACTTTTAGTTTTAATTTCAT